AAAAAAAAAAAAAAAAAAAAAAAGAGAGAGAGAGAGATATGACAAGCCTCTTTCTGCACCTTATATTGTATCCATGCTACCAGGATTAGGGCAGTACCAAACCAACCAGCAGAATGATTTAGGAATCGCCTGCCCTTAATCATACATTATGCCACAAATCAACCACACACTCTAGATTCAGCCACCTCTCCAAAAGCCCCACCTACGACTGCACGAAGCTTTGGTGAGGACAGCCAGACACAGCCATAGGAAAGAAGGTAAGGAAGGGCAAAGGGATTTTAAAAACAGAAAATAAAGAAAAAGAATGCAGGCAAAAGCTTTTGTAAATGGGGAGAGTCAGAAAGGTGGGAGAGGAAAGAAATGAGATAAAAAAGGGAATTAAGATTATATTATGTATAGGTACAAATTCCCAATGATGAATATGATCATTATGTATTAGAAACATGGACTAAGGAAAAATATAAAATAAAATAAAAACCTATTCTCTTGTTTTTCCCCCTTCCCTTTAGATCATTAAAGGACTTTTAAACTATACCTTAGAAACATATGTGTTACACTTTGGGCACATTTTTTGAGGCAGATCTCTGCTTGGAAGTTTTAAGCAATAAACACATGGGCTAAAATTGTTATATATACTTAAATTTTATCATGCCTGTAAAATAGAACCATTGAGAAAAATATATTGTGAAGTTAGTGAGTTAGAATGAAAGGCCAAGCTGGTTAAAAAATGACTGAGAACAAAAGCAATTCACCCTTTTTTTTTTTTTTTTTTTTATTCTTTTTTTTTTTTTTATTGAGTTTATTGGTACATTTAGGGATACAGTACAGTTACATTCATTGTTGGGATCATGTACCTTTACATGGCAAGTCTTGATTCTCATTTTTTTCCCCTTACCTCTGCCCTCCCTTCACCCCCTCCTCCCCTCCCCATCTACAAACACTTTATTTTCATCTTTTCATTCTCTCACATTTTTTTCTTTTCCCTTTTTGTTCAATTCACCCTTTTTAAAGACAAAGCATTTGTATGCTAAGAAGTCAGTTTAATGCTTAGATAAGAATGACCTGGGGCCAGGGATTTAACTCGGTGGTTTCTCCGCCTGCCTCACAAGCGCAAGGATCCGAGTTTGATCCAGGGTACAAAGAAAAAAACAATGATCTGGAAGTAAACAGACACTTTGACAGCAGATCTTCACTCATTTCATGGAAAGCGTGCAGCTCTGAATATTATCCCAGTGGAAGGGAAATCTTATCATTTCATGCTTTACTCTGAAAATGCAGAAAATGTTAATATATCTCCTGACTTTATTACCAATTTTTTAAATTTAAGAAACGCAGTTTTATTTCACAATGTTCATGGGTCCTATTAGCTCACCAAGTCCTCACAGCTTCCCCAAGAGCAAAGTGTTTGTATAATCTTTTTTTTTTTTTATAATTCAGAGAATGAGGTTTATCCTGACTTTTACATTTGGGAAAGTAAGACAGGCAACCACAGAATCTGAGATGTATATGGGTGAGGGCGGAGGCCTCGTTCAGACTTCTGCAGTGAGCTGAGGTGGTTTCCCCTGAGGCACCACTGTCTAGAGGCAGCATAACCTGGGGTGTACACCTCCACACTAAGTGAATCACATGGCCAGTCCCAAAGTTGGGGCGTTAGGGAATTGATCATGTTAAATTATGCTGCGACACTGCCTCACAGGCTGCATTCTCCTGGTACATCTTGGCTCCTAAAACGACCTCATGCACTTACCTCTGGTCTCCCTCCCCCCCAAGGCCACAGTAGTCCAGGAAAGTTAAAAACTGTGTCTGCAGGGCTAGACACATAAAAGCAATCTGGCCTGTGATAGGTTAGAGGTAGCTCACTCCTCATAAATAAGCAAAAGCCCACCCCAAAACTGATAAAAGGACCTTCCTTTCTTTGATCTTCTCTCTCCTTCTGCTTCTTCTTCCTCCTCTCTCTCTCTCTGCTCTCTCTCTCTATCTGCTCTTGCTCTCTCCTCCCACCCCTTGAATAAAATCTCCAGTCGGACCTCTCAGTGTGTGTGTGTGTATGTGTGTGTGTGTGTGCCTTGTTGTTGAGCGTCACTATTCCCTTTTATGGGGGCCCCATTCACCATGAGAGTACACCCTCTAGAGGATGCGCGGGGGTACAACACTACCAGAAGCCAGTGAAAAATCAAGGCTAAGACAGACCACACAGTAAGTCACAGAGCTAGAAATCCAGAACCATCTGAATCCCAAACCTAATCCCCTTAAACTCCTTATTATCCTACACAACTGCCCACAGGAACATATTTCATTGCCATTACCGACCCAACTTCTCGGTTTAATCTTATCCTTAAATACTGCTTTCTTCATTGCCTCCCCACTAAATCCTTAACACAGATCAAATCAGTCAAGAACAGGACACTAGAGCCAGACACCTGGACTTAATTCCTAGATGTAGTAAGGAGTCACTGTGTGAGCGCGGACAAGTCACCTTACCTTTCTGTAGCCTAGTTTCCATGTCTATAAAATGGAGAAAATGAAAATAACTATAAAAGTGCTTATGTGAGTTTGCACTAAGTTAACAAGGCTGCAGATAGTGCTGGAGACATTCTGCCTGTAGACTCACAAAAGACAGGACACCTCTGGCTGTTGGAGATCACAAGCACATCCTACTCTCACCATTCCTTAGCAAACTGACATGAGCCTAAAAACTACACCCCCTCACCTCCTTGACCCCCCCCCTTTTGGTACTG